ACCAAACCAAACCAAACCAAACAAACCAAACCAAACCAAACCAAACCAAACCAAACCAAACCAACCAAACCAAACCAAACCAAACCAAACCAAACCAAACCAAACCATAAAGCCAGGTGTAGTGCCACACACCTGTAATCCTAAGTACTCAGGAGCTGAGGCAGGAGGATTACAAGTTCAAGGCCAAGCTGGGTGTGGTGGCTCACACCTGTAATCCCAGTGCTCCGGAGGCTGAGGCAGGAGGGTGGTTGCAAGTTCAAGACCAGCCTGGGCTACAAATTGAGCTCAAGGCCAGCCTGAACTGCATAGCGAGACCCTGCCTCAAAAAGACAAAACACAAACAAACAAACAAACAAACAAAGTTCAAGGCCAAGCTGGATAACTTAATGAGACCCTATCTCAAAATAAAAATATAACAGCTCAGAGTTAGAGCACTTGCTTAGCTTACCCACGGCACAAGGCCCTGGGTTGCATCACCAGTACTGCAAAAATGAAACAAAAACCACAAAGCTTACTGTAGTAATTATTTTATTTATTTCTCAGGCTCTTGCACATGCTAGGAAAGTGCTCTGCCACTAAGCTACATCCCCAGCCCCTTTTGAGTGCAGCTCAGTGGTACTAACTATATTCGCAGTGCTGTGCAAAATAGATGCACTTTAGGCTGCTTTTCAGTCCAGGTTAAGAGGGAACGGGGTGGGAAACTCATCCTTGATTTTGTGGTTCTTCAGCTGCTGATTTCTTTTCCCTATAATCTTGCTGCTATTACTTTTCACAATCCTCAGATGCTGCATGGGGTAATGCACACCCATAATTCCAGCACTTGGGAGGCTGAGGCAGGAGGATTGCCATGAGTTGGAAGCCAGCCTCCACTACATAGTGAGTTTAGGCCAGTCTGAATTATAGAGCAAGACCCTGTCTTAAAAAAAAAAATCCTCAAATGGCTTCCACACTTTTTCTCTCTGAGGTTTTAAATCACATTCAGTGAGAGAAATAAGATACAATGTGGTTTCTCCATCTGACTGGAATTGGAAACTTCTGTTTCTCTGCTTATTCCTGGGTATTACATATCTTTTTGGATATAAGTAATTTATCATATACAATTATTGTGAATGTGTTTATTGCAGTCTGTGGTTTGCTATTTATTTTCCTTTTTTTGAGATGGAGTCTCAGAGTTTCGCTATGTTATTCAGACTGCCTTGAACTCATTATGTAGCCCAGGCGATACTATGTAATTTCTTAGCAGTGTCTTTTGATGAGCAGAAAACTCTTTTTTTTTCAGTGCTGGGATTGGGCCAGAGTCTTCACACTGAGTGACAGACATCCCCAACACTCTTTATTTTTTATTTTGAGACATGCTCTTTTTTTTGTTTGTTTGTTTGTTTTTTGGTTTTTCTCCGGTACCAGGAACCGAACTCACGACCTTGCGCTTGCCAGGCAGGCGCTTTGCCGCTGAGCTAAATCCCCAGCCCCTTTGAGACATGCTCTTGCTAAGTGGCTAACTTGCCTAAGGTGGGCTTGAACTTGCCATCCTCCTGCCTCAGCCTCCCAGAGTGCTCGGATTATAGGCATAATGATTTTAATTTTGATGAAGTCCATTTTATAATTTTTTCTTCTGATTGATGCCCTCGGGTTCTGGTGTTAAAACAATCTTTGTCTGTCCTAAGTTTTCAAAGACATTTCCCCATATTTCCTTTTATAAGCTTTACCATTTTTAGCTTCTCTTTTCTTTCTTTCTTTCTTTCTTTCTTTTTTTATTTTTAGTGCTGGAGCTCAAACCCAGGACCTCATGCATGCCAGGTAAGCACTCTAACCATTGAGCTACTCCCTGCCCCATTTTAGATTTTATATTTAATCAATTTTGCCTTAATTTTGCAAGTGACATAAGGTGATGGAGACCACTACAAAGCAGACCTGAGCAGGACTTAAATTAATCAGTTGGCTTTTCATGTTCACTTGCGAATCTGTCCAAGGCCTAGGCTCCTTATCTGGAAATGGCGGACTCATAGTATGTGAACCTCTGTGAGTCACTGATCCCTGCTAAAACCTGTAGTGGTGGGTGAAGCCAGAAAGCCTCAAAGGACAAGACAAGGTCACAGCCCAGGACACCTGGATCAGATCTCAACTGGATAAAGATGACAGCTTCAGGCATCTCATTATTGAGAGGATTAACTTAATACCCTGTTTAGAGAAGTCCTGGAGTGGTTCTGCCCTTCTTGAGTACTCCCCTCCCTTCTTCCGATAGCCAAACAAATATGGGCGACCCAGAGAAGGTCTTGGTCTTAGCCCTGAGAGAATCCTGAATTCTGTGAGAGGGCTTTGAGCCCTGAAATCCCACCATTTGCCTCTTTTTACTTAGCCTTTGCCGTACACTCATTCAGGAGATTGTGGACCTGATCAGCCCGCAGTAACGAAGGGATATTATTCACCCCGTAAAAAGGGTAAGAATCAATATTCATGTTTTCCCTCTCGAAGTTATCTGGTGGCTTCAGCACTATTCAATGGATATACTTACTGTATATATGTTTAAAAAATAACATTTATCTGTAACTTGCTTCCATTTTAAAGTATTCTGGCATTAATTAATGCTGTACATCAAAATTCAAACAAATGTGTGAAGTCTGTTCATTTTTTCAATGTGATTCTTCATGTCCTTTGTATCTTTTCCTTTCTTCTCAATTACTATTTTGGGAATGGGCCCACTAATGTCACAATTACCAGAGGTATCTGTGTCACAGGGATGTCGAGGATTCATAGAGACAAAGAGAAGGATACTGGGCTTTAGAACCCTGGAGACTTGAGTTACAGGCTTGACTGTGACATTGTACTGTTACTTTGTGACCGCGGGCACTTATCTCAACCGGAGTTCATCTTCCAACTTTTGAAGGTTTCACAAACGCCTATTGAACTTCCCACCCGCCGGCTGCGTTAAGCCCTGTGAATCTAATGCAGAAAAGACGACATAACTTTTCCTGCACAGAACTGAGAGGGGAAGGCGGGGGGAACCAACAGGCCATTTGACACCACTACGGGAAGTGCTTTCTTTTGCGATGAAGAAGAGAGTGCTATGATGGTGGAGAGGTGGTGCTCCCTAACTAGGTTTGTGGGGTCACAAGAGATTCCCAGAGATAAGGATGCTAAGTAGATACCTCAGTGATAAATGGATGCTCACCCGGTGATGAGGGGATCCGAACCCGTAAGAGATATGACAGGTTGAGGAACCGACAACCAAGGTACGGCTGTAGAAGGGTCAGGTGGTAGGGACTTACAGAGGCCATCATGAGGACATTAGCAGTGTCCTAGCAGCTGTGTGAAATCATTGACAGGCTTCAACATGGAAACCTGTGAGGATAGGACCACAGAATTTTTTAAATCATTTTTTTTGTGTGTGGAGAATGCATTACAGGCACGATGATTTGGAAATTGCTGGACGAGTCCTGCTGAGAGAGAGTGCATGAACTGTGGCAGAGGCAAGACGAACAGAGATTTGAGCTGGCATGGTGATACCTTCCTATAATCCCAGCATTTGGGAGGCTGAGGCAGGAGGGTTGATGGGAGTTTGAGGCCAGCCTGAAGTACACAGTGGGACCCCGTCTCAAAAAAACAAAAACAAAAAACAAAGATAGATTTGAGAAACGGGAAGCAAACCACATTAAACGTCGAAGGCTCCAGGGAATAAGGAAGAGGGGAACGCCTTAGATTTCTGCCTGAATCAACAGGATGGGTGGTAGCGCCATTCACTGGGTATAAAGAAGACTATAGGGGAACCTAAGGTGAATTTATGGGGTTTAAGATGACTGAGGCGACTCAGAACGTCCAACAGATTTGCGACTATCTTAATCTGAAAATCAGAAAAGTTAAAATTAAGGTATTAGTGAGATTAAGGTAATGTAACGTGAGCGCATCCGGGCATTTCTGCACTCTTCTACACTCAAAATAAAACTGTTTTATTTTGAGACAGGGTCTGGCTAAACTGCGTAGGCTGGGGTCGAACCTGCGATCCCCTTGCCTCAGCCCCCGCGGGCTGCGATTACAGCCTAACGCCCACTCTGATCTGAATCAGTTTCTCTTCCCCGGAGCCGGAAGAGAAGATACTCGGTTACTTTTGGTTTCGCACCCGCTCCCCGCCCTCGGCGCAGGCGCCCTGCACTCCGCCCTGCCGCGGAGGCGGTGGTGTGGGCGGGGCCAGAACCCGAGCGGCCTTTCCCAGGGCCCCGTGGCGGCCTGGGGGCGGGGCCGGACGTACCGTGACGTCACTAAACCGCGCAGTGAGGGTCTCGAGCGCGACGGCGCGGCCGGAGGACTAAGACTGGCTAGTAGGGAAACGAAACTGAGGGAGGAGGCGGCGGCTCCGGCAGCAGCCGAGCCCGGCCCGGTAGCGGCGGCGACGACAGGGTCGGCCTGACTTCCCCGTGTCCGCTCCCGGCAGCTCGCCCTCTCCCCTCAGCGTGAGTGCCGACCGCGGCCCGGGGGGAGAGAGCGGGCGGGTGCGCGGGCTCAGCATCCTCCCCTCCCCCGCCGCCGGGGCCCCTGCCGGCGGCCGTGACGCCCGCCCTCCGGCCGCGCTTCCTCCGCCCGCGGCCGGCACGCGTCTGGCGCGCACGTTCGCGCTCAGTATTATTTTCAGCCGCCGAGACCGGCCCGGGAAGACGCGGGCGCCTCTCTTCGTGTGTGCTGGGGCCTGGCTGTGCAAAAGCCCCGCCCCGCGCAAGGACCCTGCGCGGGGCTCGGAGCCCTTCCGGTGGGGACCCGGACTGCGGGAGCCTCGAAGGTTCCCGAGCACGTTCTCCTGGCGTGTGCGTCCCTTGAACTAGGCAGTAGTTAGCTACGTGGCCTTCTGCTTTGGGGCCTCAGTCTTTCCCATTGGAAAATGAGAGGTTGGAGTAGATGACTTCTTAGCCCCAAGTCTAAGATGTGTGATTTAGGGGAATCAGCAGCCGCGTCCCTTTACACAGCTGTTTCCTCTCCTTCGTTTGCACGCACCCCAACACAATCCACATTGAGTTTCCCGTGCTTCCAGCGTCCCCCAGAATGGATTCATTATCACAGGAGCGTTTCTGCGTTTGCTGTGGCTGGAAACAGGCTCTGTGATGGGCTTTCGTGCAGCTCACCCTGCGGGCCTTTTGGGGGGAGACCTGAGACCCTGGTATAAAATGAAATGTGACTCGGCCTGGTGTCGCTTTCTTTCTGTTTGCTACTCTCCTGTTCTCCCCGCTTCACCAGACAGCCTTCGCCTGGACCGGCTAAGGGACTGCTTCCTTGGGAAGGAGGTGATTGTGCATTGGGTTGACTGGCTCATCCTTGAGCTAGAGAGAAGGGAAACATGATCCAGGCTTCTGTGAGGCTTTGGAGATCAGTGGCACCTTTGACATTCTTTGTTTTCTTTCTGTGGCTGCAGTGACCCTCGCTGTAAGCCTACACAGACCTCCTCCTGGAAGGATTCAAGTCCATCTGGTCGCCCACTTCCTTTGCACCTGTTTCTCATTTTTTTTTTTTTTTTTTTTTTGGTCTGAGTTTTCTATAACCAATCAGTTGTGTATAAATCATGCTGTATTCACTACTTTGCCTTATGCTCTCAGGGTCTCATAAGCATTCCACCCAACTTTCCCCCCTCATACTTAGTTGTCACATGCGTGGACATGGATGGGTGGTGACATGGCCCTTGCCTCTTTCCATCCTTTTTTGTGGAGGTAGGTTCCTGTTTTCTTTTTTCCCGTGGGTACTGAGGATTGAACCCAGGCCCTTCACACACAGCTGCATTCCCCTGCTTTTCTTTTTAAATTTTGAGATAGGGTCTCACTAAGTTGCCTTGGCTGGTACTGAACTTGTGATTCTCCTGCCTCAGCCTCCCAGAGTGCTGGGATTTCGGGCATGTGCCACCACACTTGGCTCTATTATTTATTTATTTTTTATTTTATTTTGTTTTTTGAGATAAGGTCTTGCTATGTAGTTCAGGCTAGCTTTGAACTCACTAGGTAGCCCAAGCTGGCCTTGGACTCTTGGCGATCCACCCGCTTCAGCCTCCTGAGTGCTGGGATTACAAGGGTGTGCCACCACATCCGGTTTGGCTCTACTCTTAAAAGTATTGCTTCTGTGCCTCAGTCCAATGAACTAGTACCTCAGTCCTAACATCTTTCTCACTCTTCAGCCCTAAGCCAACTAATGCACTCCTTCCTTACTGTAGGTAAAAACCGTTGGTTCATATTTTCAAACATTATGAAGTATTAACTGACTTTTTTTATGTGTATCTTTTTTGTGGGGGTACCGGGAATCAAACTCAAGACTTAGCACTTGTCTGGCAGGCACTATGCCGCTGAGCTATATTCCAGACTCAAACATTATGAAGTAAACCAGAACCTAGTATTTGTATGATGTTATATAATCTCATACTTGTTCTATAATTGTGGCTATCACCTTTTTCAGTAAAGCTAACATGTAATATTAAAACCCAGGGCTTGCTGGGCGTGGTGGTGCACGCCTGTAATCCCAGCACTTGGGAGGCTGAGGCAGGAGGATCGCTGTGAGTTCAAGACCAGCCTGGGCTACAAAGTGAGCTCAAGGCCGGCCTGAACTGCATAGCGAGACCCTGTCTCAAAAAGACAAAACAAAACAAAACAAAACAAAAAAAAACCCAGGGCTTGGCTAGCATTCTTCCTAGACAACATTCTGAGGGGAGCTTTTTAAGTGCTGGCCCTGGAAGGTACTCAGAATTGCCAAATCTCATTCCATTGATGATTTATACTTGCTGTGATCACAGCAGCTCGAACCCGAGGGCAGCTGACTATCTGGATTTATGGTTGCAGTTAACAATGAAGAGGAGACTTGACCCAGAATGCACTGCTCCCATCAAGAAACAGAAAAAAAGAGTAGCAGAACTTGCCCTGAGCCTCAGCTCCACCTCGGATGATGAGCCTTCCACCCCTGTCAGTCACACAGCAAAAGGTATGCATGCCTGTGTGGCCTGAGGCCACCGGCCATCTGGTTATTTTAATCCCCAGTGCTTGAATTAAGGGGAATATACTCCATTGCTCCCTGGTGAAATCAGGGCAGATTCTACAGGAAGATGCTGGCCCTCAACTCTTCCATTGGGCAGTTGTCTTACAAGGATCCAGGAAGCTTGTTTAAAGAAAAGGTTGCTATGTTTCCAGAATTGCCTTGGTTCTCCTGTTGGTCCTTCAGTAGGTGGCACTCTTGGTGCCTTCAGCTAGTTAGAAGAGGCGGAAAGCATCCTGAGCTCTGTGTTTTAATAGCTGTTATGGTCTGGGGCTATTACTGTGGAGGAGGGGCTCTTGGTGCGGCTGTCTGGCCTAATTCGCAGAGTTTCCCACACCATTTTCTCCGTTCCTTCGGCAGAAACACTCAGTGGTAGAGGAGGAGCACCGTGTGTGCTCTATGCATTAACCTCAAAGGATTTCACTGGTCTGGTTGAAAGTAGCATTTTGCTGTGTCTGTTTTTAGGATTCCAGACGCTCACAGTTTCCACAGGTGCTCTCTGAGAAATCGAGAGGTGCCTAAGCGCGTGCTCCAAGTACCCAGCAGGTAGAGGTGGCTGTGTTTGCACTGACTTGCCAACTGTGTCCATTTACAAGGGCTGTGGGGGACGGCGTACTACACACTGGTTGCTTTAGCAACAGAAATTTATCCTCATGGTTCTGGAGACTAGAAGTCGCGGTGTCAGCAGGGCCACAAGGTCCCTTGGAAGGCCCATGAGAAGACCCTCCTGGGGCTGGGGATTTAGCTCAGCGGCACAGCGCCTGCCTGGCAAGCGCAAGGTCATGAGTTCGATTCCCGGTACCAGAAAAAAAAAAAAAAAAAAAAAAAAACGAAAGACCCTCCTGACCACTTGTGGCTGCTGCTGGTTGCAGTTCTGGGGGTTCCTTGGCTCAGATGGCAGCCTGACCCCAGTCTGCTGCTGCCTTCCCTCTGTGTCTGTGTCCACATTCCCCCCTTCTAAGGACTTCACTCTTTGGTTTAGAGCCCACCCTCATCTGCTACTGTATGACCTCATCTTAACTGGATTACATCTGAAAAGACTCCGTTACCAAATTAGGCCATACTTACAGGCTCTAGGCGACACGATTTTGAGGGGAGACAACTGTATTCAACCTAGTGTAGGAGCAGGCTTGGATTTTGCATGCTCTGTGGCATCAGTGGTAAACTGGAATGAAACTTAGTAACAGATTGGTGACTGAAAGGGTGTGAAGCTTCCTCTGACTGTGGTAGGAAATACAGTTTATTCACAAGCGGGAGGCTCACTGAAGGGCAGTTACTCATCTGTTCCTGGGAAGCTGGGCCAGAAAAAGGCTTGACAGGTGGTCCAGCTAATGGAGCATTTGGTGCAGCTGTGGTCCAGGCCGGATAAGAGATGCTCTTATAACCTTGTGGAGGTGTGTGTGTGCCTTTAAAGTCATGGTAGAGCCAGGTGTGGTGGCATACATCAGCTAATTTGTAGGCTGAGGTGGGAGGATGACTTTAGCCCACAAATTTGAGACTGCCCTGGGCCACAAAGCAAGACCCTCCCCAAAAAGGACCTACCTGTCCAGGGTAGGTGAAAGTCTATGTGGTTGGGGTTCTTATATGAGAAAACAAAACCATATTGGGTCCGTGGGTTTTACAGACTGTTAAGGAGCGGGGCTTGGGCTTTCTGCCTAGGGTTTGAGCAGCGTGGTAAAGGTAGAGTTTCCTTGGGAAGAATCAGGGTGTTGGGGAGATGCCCGCAAGGGGAGAGTGGAGAGCGACTTGGTAGTAGGGGAGGCCTGGGTGTTGGGATCTAGTTCTAAGTGGATTTTGGGAGACAGTTGCTCTCAAGTAACATCTCTTCGAGGTAAGGAGAGAACAACTGCCAGGTAAAGGGAAGTCAATACAGTGGCACCTTGGTTCCCGAACTTAATTACTTCCACGATTCTGGTTGCAATTGAATTGCAAGCATAGTGTGTACTATTGTATATAAAGTTTTAAGCGTCTTTTAACGAAACCAGTCTGATTTCAGTTTCAAGATTTTAAAAATGTGACTGTGCATGGAGATTGCCCGCGCTCTATGTACACATATACACACACTCCTTTCATTTTACCAGATAGTGGTAACCTTCTCTGGAAGTAGTAGCACCACATGACGCAGGACTGACTGTTGCTGTTGTGTGCGCAGAACAGAATTCAGAGGTGGCCAGTCTCGCGTGTGGCTGACAGTAGGCCAGCGGGTCTCTTTCCTGTGCAGAAAATGAGGCAGAAGCCGAGGCAAACCAACATGGCCGTGCTTCTTCTCCAGATTAACTTTGTTTAGGGAGAGGCTGCTCCACACTGATGGGGAAACTCAGCACAGGTCCGCAGGCTGTTGTCTGTGTGCCCTCCCTCCCAACATGAGCTAAGTGCTGGCTGTGTTTTTACTGGAGAGAGCTGAGAGAAGGTAACGAGCGTCTTTTCCGGGATGCTTAGAATGCTTCGCTTCTTTCGTTTTGCCTTTGTCTTCTCTAGCCTGCAGATCATTTCCGTAAGTTTTTACATTTCACGTCTGTATTCTGTGTGGACTCCTGGGAGGTTTGTTTCTGCTGTTGCGTCAGAGCCTGTGTGTCCCTGAGATGTGGATGCAGCTTCCTCCTGAAGTCATTGGAGCAGAGCAGGGGTGTTCCTGTTGGCTCTGACCACTTCTACCTGCATGTACAAATAGGTGTTGGAAAAGTGCTCTTTATTGAGAACAGTTAGAAAAACAACAGTTATATTTCTGTTTGCACCTCCGTTTTTCTTCCTCTGCTAGATCAGTGTGATGACTCATTGGTAGATCTAGTTAGTTTAATCAGTTTGTTTATTTTACGTTATTCACAAAGTAGCTCTATTGCCAGCACAGCAACTTGACATTGGGCCAGAGTAAAGGAAAAAAGGGATGCTTCCCTGGGGATCGTGGCGTCATTTTCTTTTGAGTATTCAGATGGATATTGGAAGACATTTCTGAGTGTAAATAGCTCTTGAAAATCTGCTGTCATGTAACCTTGTGAAGTAACAAGAGGCAGATGAATCTTTTTTTATGGACAGGGAACCTTTTTAGGGCTTCCTTGTCCCTTGTCCTAGAGAAGAAAACTGGCCTAGACATCAGGAAAATTTCTCATTAGCTCCCTCTCAAGAAAATTTCCCTCTCTTCTACATGGGCTCCTGGTACCAAGTCTCTTGGAAGTTGCAAAGCTCCTTTGCCAACACCACATTAAAAGCACCTTCCCCTCCACCAGATTTAATTCTTTCCTAAATAGGCTATTTGCCCTGAAACACCATCGCTTCCCTGCCAGCGCAGATTCATGACCTTAATCAAAAACTTCCTTTATCGGTATCTGTTTAAATTGCTGTAATGAGTTACCATTTGTCTGGCATGAGGGAGAAATTGAGCTTTTAAACAGGATCATTCCTGTGTGTTTCTCAGGCAGGATGTGATGTTTATTAGAATTCATAATTTATTCTTGTGTGCTGCTCCCCTTGGCCTTGAGTGGTTGGAGTTGCCACTCCCTGCGTGTCGTCACTGTCATTTTTAATCTTGGTGTGTTTGCCCTACTGTTCTGTCGCCATGTGAACAACTTTGCTAGCAGCTGGGAAACCTTTGGCTCCCCTGTAAAGTGAACCCTTCTTCAGAATGACTTAATAATGGTTTTTATCGGTAGAGAAGAAATCTTAAATGAAAACTCTAAATAATGTTTTGCCTCTGTGGTAGATTGTAGGAGGGGAACTCATGGGGAGGTAGATGGGGCTGTCTCCCAATTTTGGCAAGTTCTTAATGAAACTAATGATTTTAATAGACTGACCTCATTACTCCTGTTAATTTATGCCCTCATTACAAAATTGTCTGCTCAATGTTTGCTAAATTCTTACCCGTCTTGGGAAGCAAAGCCTCCTTTTTAGTTATAGCTGCGCTGCAGCCATGACATTTGTCTCTTCATCTGGAAAGAGTGGCCCCGAAGGTCCAGTAGTAAAAATAAGTAGTGGCCCTGGCGTTCTGTGGTCACTAGGACTAATCTGTGGACCTTTCTCCTAAGTCACGGCAAGCTAGGAACTGGTTTTATGTGCTCCATGAGTAAGAGAGAAATAAGTTTTGCTTGCTTCTCTGGCTCCCTTCTTGAGCTCCAAGGGTCTGGTAGAGGGGATATTTTAGCTCCTGTCACCCTCACGCTTCGATCCTGGAAAGGGCAGCGTGCAGTAACTAACGGGAGGAAGACAGGCAGACCGAGAGGAAAGATCAGTGTGTCGTATTCTAGTGATGGAATTTTACATCAGAGTTGCCACTGATTTGCCTAGTGAGCCTTCCACCTAAATTTCATTCTGTCATTTTTGCCCAGAGGTGTTACAGAAGACAAAAGGAAATTCAGTCTCACACTCTGAAACCAAGAATCAGGAGTTCTTGTCATCCAGAATGGAATTCTTGCCATTCTCATAGTCATCGTTGGGGTCCTCCAGCAAATCTTCACAGCTGGGCAGCTTCCTAGAGCCCTAGAGCTGGACCCAGGCACAGTTTCCTTTGAGGCTGCCACTTTGTTTTTCCCCCCGCCCCGGTACTGGGGACTGAACCCAAAGCTTTTGCACTGAGCTACATCTTCAGCCTTTTATTTTGAGATAAGGTCTCGTTATATTGTCTTGGCTGGGCTCAAACTTGCACTCCTTCTACCTCATCCTCCCAGAGTGCTGAGATTATAGGTATGACGCACTATGCCTGGCTGGATACCAGGGTTTTCCCCTTTCATAGGTAGGCCTGTGAATGTTCAGCTGGTGAAAGGGATAGTCATGCTTTTTCACATTATAGCTTCTGGTTAGCCAGGAACCCGAGTCCCTGGGTGCCCAGAAGAATCTTCAAGGCTGTGCCTAGAGCTGTCCACCTTCCTGGGACCACTTCTTCCTGTACCAAGCAGTACGTGTGGAATGCGTGGGAGCAGCTGAGAGCAGAGGACGCGCACTGCCAGAAATGCAATTCTCTAGTGCATGTGCGGTGTCACAAAGCACATGCCCCTCTTCCTTTAACTGGAAGTAACTGATAAGAAGCCCCAGGGTAGTCTTGAGCCACCCGGGAGGCCTTGCCTGCAGATCTGCTCCCTGATTTCCCGGAAAAGGAACTGGTCTCTTCTCAAGGCTAGGAATAGTAATTCCTTATAGTTTTATTTCTTACCCTAGTTTCTAAACTGATACATTTTTCTTTCTCACAAATGCAGAAAAGTGCAAAACAGAAAATGAACATCACCTCACCTCTCAGTTTCCATGGTTACTCATTGTTAACGTTCTGGGTCTTTCCTCCTGAGTGGCAATCTCTGGCACACTGTGACGTGGGCTGCAGTGGTCCATGTAAGCAAGACAGCTTCTTATTAAGGGAATTAGACAGCACCATCACACGCAGGGACAGATTTCATGCCTCTGTGCAGGGACATTCTCAACCACACTTCTTTCTTACTAACTCATTAGAAATCAGGATTTTGATTTGGGTTTATTCTGATTTTTTTCCCCGCATATGTTCAGTTGCTTTTTTTCCCCTTAGAATCTTATATTCTTAAAAAATGTATATTTAAGAGTAGAGTTGTGGCATATTTAGGAGTGGACTTGTGGTAGAGTTCTTGCCTAACATGCATGAGGCCCCGTGTTTGATCTCTTGAAATGAAAAAGCATATTTACCTTATCGATTAGATTTTCAAGCTCTGTGATCGTTGTTAACTTTTGCATAATATCCTATGGTATAGAGCAACGACTTTTTGTAGAACAGGTCCTGAACCAAAGTAGGTGAGCTATTAAACAGTTCAGCGTTCTGAGGTTTGATGTATCGTATTTTTCCTCCTGGGGCTGAGGTAAGGTAAAGCATAGCTCAAGGAGGACCTGGTTCCCTGTGAGGATGCACAGTAGGTAATCCATCCTGATCCTTAAATTGTGGGGGAAGCGGATTGAGACGGGGTCTTGCTATGTAGTCCAGACTGGCCTTGAATTTGCCATGTTATCCAAGCTGGCCTCAAACTCGCAATCCTGCCTCCATTTTCCAAGTGCTGGGACTACTTGTGTGTGCCAGCAAGCTCAGCTGGATCCTTAAACTTTTGAGGCTGAATGTCTTATACTATTTTTATGAGGAAAAATCCACCCCCTTCTTTTTTCTTCCCCGGTACTGGGGATTAGATGTAGGCTTAGGGCTTTTCCACTGAGCAACATCCCCAGCCCTTTTAAAATTTACTTTATTTTGACGCAGGATCTTGTTAAGTCATTAAGTTGCCTAGGCTGGTCTTGAACGTAGGACCTTCCTCTTTCATTGTCCCAGAGTGGTGGAATTATAGGCGTGCACCACGGTGCCTGGCTTTGTGAGGAAATACGTTTTCCCGTTTTTATTTTTGTCAGTGTATGTGTATAGTACATACTGATCACACCCCTTGTGGTGAGTTGATGCAGGTACAGAACATGTCAGTTCTTTATCTCCTTGCTCTCTCCTTTGTCCCCTCCCTCAATCTCTCAGTCCTCTTCCCTTTTGCAAGAGATCTTCTCCCTATTTCCTGTTATCTTTTATTTTGGATTTCTCAGAGAAACCATGCAGTATTTAAGCTGTGTATCTGATGTATTTCACTTAACATTATGGTCTCAAGGTGCATCTGTTTTCTTACAAATGACTCAGGTTTATCCTTCTTTATGACAGAGTAGTACTCCATTGTGTGTAAATACTGCGTTTTCTTTATCCATTCTTCTGTCAGTGGGTGTACAGGCTGCTTCCAAGATTTAGCGATTGTGAGTTGTGCTGCCATAAACACAGGTGTGCACATATCACACTAACATGATGTCTTTTAACTCTTTTGGGAAGTTACCTATTAGGGGACTAGTTAGATTGAATGGAATGTCTTGCTTTAGCTTTTTGAGGACTCTCCATATTGATTTCCATAGTGGTTGTACTAGTTCCCATCCCACCAGCAGTGTAGAAGGATTTGTATGAGGAAATATCTTAAGGACCTGTATGCCACAGTAGCTCCTCAGGAAGGTGACACTCGACTGACAGATCTTTAAATTCACTATGAAAAACACTTAATTTCTGTTAAATAGAAAGCTCAGGCTACTGTTGGCAGTAACAAAATCTCTGTGACAAAAATCCCTGCTTTCTAGGAATGCCCTCATCTGGGGAGAGGGTAGCTGGCTCCAAGGCAGTGTGACGAGTGCTTCGCTGGTGCTGTGACTGCTGGTCGAGGGGCGTAGTGGGAGGGAGAGCCTCGTGCCAGGGAAGGCTTTCTGCTAGTGTCAGCTCCTGGCAGTTTGTGTTCGAGCAGGGAAGGGGTGGATCCGTGCAGACAGGGTGCAGAATTGGGATCGAATCCTCAGGTTCTGCGTGAAGTGACTGTGGGTGCCCGAGAGCCCTCTCCCACAGCTGCCCTCTGCACCGCCCCTTCTGCACCGCCTTTGTCTCTCAGCAGCCTCCTCCTTCCCTCAGGAATTGTACCAACTGCTAAGTCATTCCTCCTTCATATTTATTTTAAATTTTAGTAGCTGATATATTTACATGGCTCATCATTTAAAAATATGAGAAGATAGCCATTATAAGCTTGTGATATAAAATTATAAATCAGATTTCAGTTCTTTTACTTGTTCTAAGTAATCATTTTGGTATTCTGTCCTATGCTCCAGCCCCTGCGTGTGCGGAGCTCCCCGTTAATTGGTTTTGTATATCTTTCCTTTCAAAGCTCAATTATAAAGCAATTACAAGAAATAAAAGTATCTATTATTTTCCCTCTTTACTACACAAGAGTCAGGATGCCAGGCTCATATGGTACATATGGTTCTGCTTTTTTATGATTTTTTTTTTTTTTGAGATGAGGTCTTGCTATGTAGTTCAGTTTGGCCTTGAACTCACAACTATCCTCCTGCCTCAGTCTCCTGACAGCTGGGATTACAGGTGTGTGCTATCGCGCTTGGCTGCTTTTACGATTTTTTGTCAGTGTATCTTGGTGCTCTATCTGATTCAGCATCCCCACCATTATTTCCTGTTCTGCATTCCTTCTGGTTTGCAGTTTACTGTTTCCCATGTGGATCTGTAGACAGTGTTGACCAAACTTTTGAGATTGTCTGTTTCCAGTTTCAGGTGGGTTTGTCCAAGAAACTCGCTGAAAAATTACCCAGGGTTGAAGTTGCTGTTAGGTTAGTAGATTGATATATATATACACGAGAGAGAGAAAGAGCTGGCCACGGTGACTATTCAGGCTGAGGAACATCTCCCTTTGACAATGGGACAGGTACCCACCCCTTCTAGAAGCTGCTCAGGTGGCTTCAGTAGGAGTCTGTGACAGGTCGTTGACAGTAAAGGTGACAGTTTAAGTTACTAGCCTGACAGCTCCCTCTTGGTGCTTAGCTGTGTCTCTTCCGCTTCACATGGTGGTTGTCTTAGAGGTCTACCTGCATCCCTGTTCTCCTTCTCGTTCCCTTCCTTTCCCATGCCCTCCTGTCCCCTGTCCTCTTTGCTCTTTTGTTTGTCTATTATTTTGGTTTTGGAGACAGGGCCTCACTGTGTTCAGGCTGGCCTTGAGCTCACTGTGTAACTCAGACTGGCCTTGAACTTTTGGAGATCCTCCTGCCTTAGCCTCCCACGTGCTGGATCACAGGCGTGCGCCACCATGCCCAGCTGCTCTTTCCTCTTGTTCCTTTCCGGTGTCTGTCCTTTGAGCCTGCTTTTTCTGGAGCTGCAGTGTAGACCACTCTGTTCCCTCGAAGTCTGAAGGACTTTGAAAGCAAAGAGAACTAGTTAAGAGATTAAACAGTCAGAAGTGGTGATGGTATCATTGAAAATGCCTGGTGTGTCAGTGTTTGGAAGTTACTGTTAAATAATAGTAGTGGCAGAAATGACAACATAGCTTCTATAAATACACTTTGTGTTTGACAGTATACAGTACTTTCAAAACATGATTCCATTTACTCTTTAAACAACCTATGAGATAGTAGGCATCACTGTCCCACTTCCGTTGTGGGAGAAATTTAAAGGGTGGAGAGCTCCCGTTGCATCAAGTACTTTTTTGGAACTTTCAGGGGCCAGCTCAAGATTATTGTTACTACTAAGAGTTAGTCATGGGTAGTGAATAGATTTGACCCTGAGTCAAGCTAATGAACTTAATTTGGGCAGTGCCTATGCTGGACACGAGTTGAATAAATGAAGCCTGGACCTTGTAGAGGTTCTTGTGTGCCATGAACTCACCTAAACATTTCCCTTTCTTCTTTTCCAGTTTCTGCGACAAGTCTTAGTGAGTCTGACAGTGAGAATGAAGGGAAGCCGCGCAGCTCTGACTCTTTCAGTGACGTGTTCAAAGCAGACTCGCTTGTGGAGGGAACGTCTTCTCGATACTCCATGTACAACAGCGTCTCCCAGAAGCTCATGGTATGTCCGCGCTCAGGCCGTTTCCTCGGCTGTCCCCATACAGCGAGAGAAGGCAGTTTGTATTGGGAATGGAAAAAGGAGGAGCTAGGGCCTGTGTGTTTCCTCTGCTTTCCAGCTGCTGAAGATTTAGTGAGGTCACCTTTTGGAATCCCCGCTGAGGAGTCATTATTGTACACATCGTGAATCTACTTCCCTAGACACGGCTCTGTGTCAGTGCACGCAGAGGCTTCCTGCTGCGAGCTTTTGCTTTAGTGCGTGACCTCAAAAGGAGCAACTGAACTCCTGTTCACTCCTAGGTGCCTAAAATAAAGGGGACTAGCAAGGCCTGATTCCCTTTCCTGTTCCTCCCCACCGGTGTATTTGAGAAAGAGGTGGAAGGAGGCTTTCGCTTGCTCCTCAGAACTCAGTGTGTGTGCAGAGGTCAGTGAAGCCCATGGCTGCTTTCTCTCTGCCCTTGGAAATGTCATAGTGAAGGCTTCATTTTCTGTGGGACTTGTGCAAGAATGAGAATCGCCACTGCTGAAGTCATAGGACAGAATCCTAGTTTGGGGACCACTGGATTTGGGGGCTTGAGGCTTGTGACACACTCAGCCTCTGTGACCTGGGGAAGGATTTGGCTGCTGTGAAGATTGCATCCAGCTCTGGAGCCGGTACAGCTGCTTTCAGAGGGCACTGGCTTTTATCCAGGCTGGAGTTCTTTTATGAGATAAGAGTCTCTGTGGTTTGAGATTTGAGTCTTTGATTTTCAGAGTGTCTACATGGGCCTGGGGTCACCCTGCAGTCCACCTTGTTCTTACTGAAAGTTGTGGTTTTTCTTTTCTTTTTTTTTTTTTTTTTTTTTTTTTGTGGGGGGGGGGGTTTTATTTTCGGTGTTTTTCACTTGTGGTTTTTCTTTTCTTTTTTTTTTTTTTTTTTTTTTTGGCAGGGCTGGGAATTGAATCCAGGGCTTTCTCACTGAACTACATCCCCTGCTGGTTTTTGTTTGTTTTTTTTTGTTTGTTTGTTTTGGGTCTCATTAAGTCACTTGAGTTTACCCGGACTGGACTCAAACTTGTGATCTTCCTGCCTCAGCCTTCCAGAACGCTGAGATGATAGACACAGTTGTGACATTTAACATAGTGTTTCTGTCCCAGGCTCTTACCGTACTTTCTGTACCCGAGTTTAACAGGAAGCAAAGTTTTCACTTATCTCTTGATTAAGTGGGTCCTGCAAGCCCTCATTGTGCTCACATAGTAAAACTGTTTGACTAGCTGAGAGTAAAGTGGAAGGTACCGCTTGAAGCTGTTCCATTTTAAATTATGTTCTCTTTATCAGCTCTATTCTGGATCTACTTTTCCGTTAATCAGACAAATTAGCTGGAAGGGTGAGTTGTGCACATGTCCAATGAGATTCATGAAGTACTTCTGGTGCTTTTAATTACAGCTTTGGTATATGGTCCCTTCTCATTTATCCAGCTTCTGAGCGCCCTGACTTTCAGCTCCAGAGTACAGTCCCTGGGCCCATGGTTATACTGCACTTATGTGCGTGTGCTCTTTTGCCTTCAGTAGGCCGGGAGGCAAACTTAGGTCCTACCCATCTGTATTTCGCAGGCTTAGCACAGTGCCTGGCATGGGACAGGGCTAAAGAAATCTCTGTTGCACTAAATCAGTTTTGCTCTGTTGTCTTTTTCAGGCCAAGATGGGCTTCAAGGAAGGCGAAGGTTTGGGTAAATTCAGCCAGGGTCGGAAGGACATCGTTGAAGCCTCTAATCAGAAGGGGCGGAGAGGCCTGGGTCTGACTCTGCAGGGCTTCGATCAGGAGCTGAACGTGGATTGGCGAGATGAGCCGGAGGTAATGGTCTGGTGCGGGGGAGGCGGCAGGAGGCTTTCCGAGCTTTTGGAGGTGTGGCTTTGGGAGGCCACAGTCTGAGCAGGGCGCCGAGGTGGGGTGGAGCGAGGTTCTTACAGACAAGGTGATGGGGGTGTCCAAGTGGAACACAGAAGGTGGGGGTTTGATGGCATGTCAGTTTGTTTCCTGTGATTTTGTAGGTCTGCCTAAGACCAGTAGTAAAAGATGTGGAAGGCGGAGTTTGGCTGTACAGAGAACTTAATGCATAGGTACAGTTTTCCGTTAGACGGGGGAGAAACCTCGTGAGGCAGTGAGCCCCCTCGGCCGGAAGGATCCATGCGGCCAGTGAGCACCCACTACTTCGCCGTGCGACTCACTGGATGCGGCCTTCTGCGGTCCTTCCACCCCCACAAGTAAAGGCCGTGGAGGTTGTGAGCAGGTGCAGTGCTCGCGCTGGGTGGCTTCTCTGCTGTGGGTTTAGTCTGTTTTTCTACCTGCGGACTTATTTATTGTCCAACAGAGAGAGACTGTTACTGTCCCTTTTCGTGGCACAGATGTGTTGAGATTTTATTTTTATTTATTTGTTTATGTCTTTATTCCACAAAGGAATTGATGTAGGTAATAATACAAGTATCTAAAAATAATGTTGAGATACTCGCGTTACAGAATCAAGGCTGTGGAGAATAGAACATGAGTACTGAGGCTTGTGTGCTGTTGTTGTAGCTGAGCTTGGGATGTGGCTTGAAGACTGGGAAATGGCTGTTATTTGTCTCCCCGACGTTCCAGGTCGGGGGAGACGCGCACGTGATGAGAGCCTCACAGGGCTCGAGGGTGCGATTCTGACAAATCGGGAGCCGATGGGTCTGGGGCGGTCTTGCTGACTGCCTTGGCTGGGAGGAGATGAGACCACCACAGGAGAAGACAAGGAGACCGTCACAGAGTAGCTGAGGATGAATTGGCTGCTAGATGTACGCCTTTGTCTTGAAATTACTGAACCTAGTGCTTTCCTTGTCTTCAGCCTTGTGAAAACAAGCATGAGCGTCTGGGGCATTTCAGTGGGGCAGGATTTGAATGAACTTTGTTTAACTTAAATTTGGAGTTTGCCCATGCAGTCGCTGTTCTTAATGGAGAGAGACTAGGGTGAGGCTGTCCCAGTTCCCATGTACCGTAATTCAGTTTTCCTCTTTAAGATGCCTGATGAGTGAGTAAGAGTTTGGCTCCACTCTAGTGGGTAGCCACTTTCCGGGCACATGAGTCTGATGGCCTGGTGTGAGTGTGAATGTCCACTTCTGGGGTCACTGCAGGGAGCGCTTGCTCCACAGCCCAGGACTGGGGTTCAAGGTTCGACCTTCGAAGTCTACGTGCAGACTTCCATCGGGAGGTCGAGTGGATATGCACTTCATTTTTCTACAGTTTGTAATTTACATGTATGCTTAAAGGTGATGGATTTCACCTGGAGAAACCATGATTCCCTACCAAATTTCTGGACAAAACGCTTCTGTAGTTTTTCTTTTCAACTGTTCTCAGTTGATGGCCGTTGGCCTGCCCTCAAAACCTTGCATTGTGGTGCCATTTTATGCCTTTCAGAGCACGCAATATTACCTTTAATCACATCGCCTCAATTTGTAATGGTGAATCTCCACATTGGCTTGGGAGGCAATCTGTGAAGCTGCCGTGCAGGCTAGCCACCTGGTGAAGTTTTATAATGCACGTCTTTCTAGCCCAGGGTCCCTAGTCCTGATGCACAGTAGATCCCCTGGGGACTTTAAACACATGTGCCCTGTCCCCATCTTGGAGCAGGAGAATCATACACACTGGAGTTGTGGCCCAGGCATCAGGACCTTTGAAAGCTGTGCAGGAGATTCTAACGTGCAGCCAGAGTGAGCTGCCGCCTTTGCCTATTAGGGAAAGTAATTGAAAAACCAAGAAGAAGTCGCCATTACAGACCCCACTTCCTGCTCTGTCTTGGGCTGACAGAGGAGAATATTGTTTATCAGTTTCTGGGCTAGTTTGCAAATAACACTTGGAAAGGCATTAGGAGGTGAGACTCACTGCTGTCACATCTTCCTGATGCCACTGCCTTTCCGTAGACTTCCATCGAATGTGACAGCAACCTGCTTACTTCTCTGTGTCCTCACTGTTCTGGTTTTAAACCCCTGGGTTAAGGATTTGTCTTACTTTCTTGTCGCTGGGACAAAATATCCAGCAGGTACAAGTTACAGGAGGAGAGGTTTATTTTAGCTCACGGTTGGTAGAGGTTTCAGTCTGTAGTTGGCTAGTTCCAAGGCAAGCTGTGTGGCAGAAGGGCCTGGCGAAGGAGAAACAGTTCGTGGCAGGGTGGACAGAAGCAGCGGGTGCTCAAGGCAGGATGGATATGTATAGATAGATGCTGTGTGTGTATCCCCAGGCCACGCCCACAGTGACCCACCTCCTCCCATCAGGCTTCACCTCCAGCATCGCACCCAGCTAGAAACCCATCACAGGGCTAATCCAGTATCACACACCCGCGGTCCAGCCACCTCCCAAAAGCCCTGCCTGTGAGGTTTTTGGGGCAAGGTAGATATAGGCTATTATGGCATCTGTCTTAACTTTCATTCTGAGCTCTTACACATGGTAGGCGTGCATTATAAAATTGGAAGAAACCTTGAGGATTTGGAAGTTTCTAAGGATCAGCCGAATTGGAGCGGCCCTTCAGGAGACAGACTTCTCAAGCCTGGCTCTCGCTTTTCATAGCTGATCACTGTACTTGGCTCCAGCAGCTTGGACCCTCCTCAGTCTGAGTTTATATGGGTTGTTTTGGGGGAGCTGTGGTGACGTGGGGCAGAGATCCACAGATCTGACTTACCTGGTTTCCTTACCTTTCTTTTCTTGTAGCCCAGTGCCTGTGAGCAGGTGTCATGGTTCCCAGAATGTACTATGGAAATTCCTGACACTCAAGAAATGAGTGACTGGATGGTTGTGGGAAAGGTAGGATTTCAGGAAAATGTGCCCCACCCTCTTGGTCTTGTGCTAAATTTTTTCCTCCTTAATTCAATGTATAAATGTATCTGCAGTTTAATAAAAATGTGGCCAGGCATGGTGGTACATGCCTGGAATCTCAGCAGCCTGGGAGGCTGAGACAAGAGGATTGCCAAGTTCAAGCCCAGCCAGGGAAACTTGGGGATTTAGCAAGATCCTATCTCAAAAAGGGGCTGGAAATGTAGCTCAGTTTGAAGGCCTGTGGTTCAATGCCCCATTCCTTTAAAAAAAAAAAGAGCAAATCAGGTCATTCCAACAGGAATGAAGCTTCATGGACAGAGTATATCAAGGGCCGTACGTACACACCCCTCCTGAGCCTTGGCTGGCGGCTTTTCCTTTCTACTCGTTTAACTTGCAGGGCAAACGAACACCTAATCTGTGTCCCTTCCTTGTAGATACCTTTTTTGGAGTGGCTGACCGTGTCTGTCTATCCCACTTCCTGCTGGGCATGGTGCCACATAGATGAGAAGACACTGTCCCTGTCTTCAGAAAGTAATGGGCTGTTACAGAGGGAATCTGTTTAACCTCATTCTGGAAAATTGTATAAATAAAGCAGATGGCTGCGAAGTCAGTGCCGTCTGGAGAGCTGCCATCAGAGTGGAGGGTTCGGGAATGTCCACAACCCGTCCGGGGCTGTGCACGGACAAGGCCGTCCTCCTCACGGTGTGGGAAAGCTCCCCGCCGTTCCATTCGCGTTGTTCCACAGGTGGCCGGTGGAGTTTCCAGAGGGCTGGACCCGTGGTATCACAACTGACTGAAGGGCAAAAGTGGGAAGAGAATCTAGCCTTGTTCTGTTAACTCAGACACTGAGGAGATTTACATGGTGGAAAATAGAACTAATGACTCTCCTCAGCACATTTTTTTTTTGAGATAGGGTTTTTAAAATACAAATATTTATGTTAACACAGCACATTGCTTTTTTAAGCTGAAATAAGAAATATAAAAATTTTTTAAAAATTTTTTATAAACATTAGTGTCTAACTCATGTAAACAGAAACCTTTGGAGTCCTTAGTGTTCTTTGTTTTTTTGTTTTTTTGTTTTTTTTTTTTGGTCTTTTTGAGACAGGGTCCCAGTATGCAGTTCAGGCTGACCTTGAGCTCACTTTGTAGCCCAGGCTGGTCTCAAACTCACAATGATCTTCCTGCCTCAGACTCCCGAGTGCTAGGATTATACAGGCATACGCTGCTATGCCCGGCTTCCTCAGTGTATTTTTGCACTGATGGAACCCCAGCCTTGCACATGCGAGGTGGGCGCCCTGCCCTGAGCTCCACCCCAGCACTTGTGTGATGGTGAAGCCGTAAGCCTGAGCGCACAGAGCGTGGGCAGTGCTGGTGTAGAGCCCGTTGCTCTCAGACCAGGTGGGATCTGAGATCCCCACAAGGTGCGTTGCAGCCTCGGTTTCTACGATGCTCCTTCCTCCCCTGCAGCATGGTTCTGCCCCGCTCCTGCCCCGTGCTCCAGGCGCAGGCTGCCCCATCTCCTCCCTGTTTCTTTTCCCAGCCTCAGCATGCTTGAGGCTGGTGCCCATATGGTGTGCTCCTCGGAGCTCCCCAGGGACCCCTTCATCCCAGAGCCATCTGGAGTGCAGCCAGGGGGCTTAGGATTGTCTCTCTCCCGCCCCTCAGGGACCAATACTTCTTGGCAGGGACTCAGGCGCCTTCCTGCTGTGCTCACTTGGAACCCTAATTTCTCCAGTCACCCCCATCCCAGTCATACCTGGTCATTATTGTTTCTTCTCCTTTTAGAGAAAGATGACTATTGATGACGAGACAGAGTTCTGTGGTGTGGAGCTGCTCCACAGCATGCTGCAGTGCAAGGTGAGGCCTGCTAGGGCCTGTGCAGTCCCGCCTGAGGGTCTAGCTGGACTTCGCTGCTTTTCCTGTGCTGCAGTTGTGGGGGTGCTGAAGCTAAGCTGTGTCCTGACGAGGGGTGTGCCGCAGCCCTGCAGGCATCCTTTACCCTGCAGTCAGTGATGAAGAAGGGTCCCTTGGCCTCACTGATGAGTGTATGGCGATCCTCAGGGGCCTGGTGTACTTTTACCATTAGATGGACCTGGATTCAGACCCTAGGCTTATCTGTGGCTGCTTTGCTATGTGACCTTGGGCCAGGTGCCTCAGCCTGACTTTTGGTTTTCTCTATAAAATGGGGAGAAAATTCTTTGCTGAATGCTCTGGAGTTACATGCAGTAGTGGGTGTGAAGCACCTGGGTAAGTGTGGCTTCCCTGTGATACCTGTTGGCCCGATCTTGTGCCTGGGGCAGAAGGAGGCAGGGAGAATGGGGGGAAGTGGGTGGGAAAATGATGCTTCATGTCAGCCTCGGGGAGCTTACGTTTTGGCGGATGTGGGTTGGGAATACCTAGGGACAGTGAGGAAGCTGGGGGGAGGGCTCTGAGGAGTATTAGAGGCCACAGCAAACCCCAGCCTTGGCTTGTGCCCCCAGTGTGCCCGTCAGGTGAGCCACAGTATCAGAGCTTGGGTGTCCGGCCAGTTGCTGCTGGTGTAGGGAAATGATTTGCTGTGAAGATGAGTGATACCAAGGGGCAGCTGCGTGGGCAGCAGTAGGTTCCTCTTTAGTTTTTTTTTTTTACCACTGTACAAGTGAGAGAATTGAAGGTCACAGTGATTGAGCATCTTGTCACAGGTCACACAGGTCATTGCAGAGCTAAATGCAGCAGGCGCCCCGCTTCTTGAGGGCTGTGAGTCAGGCACTACTGGTGTTAAAGACCCCTGGCCTGTCCGGAGAGACTGGGAAGTGTTCACCTGGGCTTCTGTCTCTTTGGGCAGAGCGTGTTTGACGTCCTGGACGGGGAAGAGAAGCGGCGCGCTCGGACCCGGGCCAATCCCTACGAGATGATCCGAGGAGTCTTCTTCCTTAACAGGTTTGCTGACTTTTCCTCTCCATACCCCTCCTCAACGCGTACGGGCCACCTCTCCTGTGAGCCTCAGCTCTCTGCTGGTGGAACTGAGTCGTGCTTCTCTGTCTGGCTTTGTTGCAGGGCAGCGATGAAGATGGCTAACATGGATTTTGTGTTTGATCGCATGTTTACCAATCCCCGGGACTCTAAAGGGGTGAGAACGTGTGGTGCCGAGTGGACTGACGCTTCTGTGGCCCCAGGACTGCCATTCCCTAAGTGCTAGGAGAGAGTCTTGCCCTGGCGGTCGACATGCTCTGCTTTCCCCTCCCCAGACAGAGTCCCGGGGTCCCAGGAGTGCCCCACATGCCCTGCGCACTTAAGATCTGTTCCAGCTCTAAGACCTGTGATTTCCAAGGGGCTGCTTTTGCTGTCTGTCTCTGAGCATGCTTTGTGCGAGGTTGTAATTGTATGGCTTTGGCCTTTCTGAAGAAGTAGTGGAGCAAAATGACTCTGTTGCATCTCATTTCTCTGAACCCCGACACTCCACAATGACAGGGAAAGAAGGAAAAGGGAAATCTCTTTGTAGAATTCCCTTCCAGGTTTGAAAGCATTTATCCTTTTTCTTTTTTGGTCTTTTTGAGACAGGGTCTCACTAGGCAGTTCAGGCTGGACTTGAACTCACTTTGTAGCCCAGGCTGGCCTTGAACTCACTAGGATCCTCCTGCCTCAGCCTCCAGAGTGCTGGGATTACAGGAGTATGCCACCACGTCTGGCTTTGAAAGCATTTTTACCCAGTCCTAGAAAGTTAGTTTCCTTTGATGGGGCCAGGAGCCAGTTGCCCCCAAACCTATTTCTGCTTCACTCACTGTCATGCACTGCCCCCCAAGAACCTTATCTGCAAGTTCTGTAACGTTCCCACTCCCCCGCTGAACCGCCTGTCCATGCGGGCTCAATTGCACGTTGGTGCCTCCAGCCTTTGCTCATTTTTCCTTCGCAGGGTTCTCTCCCCATCTTCCAAGACCAGCAGGCAGCACAAAAGGGCTCTTGGAATTAGCATCTTGAGAAAATTAGGTTGATATAATGTTGATTTAATTTTCTGAGCTCCCAATGATTTCCTTTAAAACCCTGTCTGGCAGAGGAGCCCGTTAAGCTGCTGGGAAGTCACAGCATCATTTTGGGCTTTTGAACGCAAACGCCTCCAGCAGCTGGTGTTTGGTTATTGTCTTTTGCTGTCATGAAAATGAAGTAGGCACCAGGATTGTACCATTCGGGTCGAGGGTGGAGATGTTAGTTACATGGGAAGAGGCGGCCGCATTCGTAGTGCTCGAGGCAGCTTCTTGACCTGAATTGATGGTTAGTGGCCACAGAGAATTCCCCTTGCAGATATGTTTCTCTGCACTCCGCTATAAAAAGTGATTTCTCCCAAGCCCTGAGTGTTTTCTTCTCCCTTTTCATCTCCGTTTTCCCCTGAGGATTGGAGTGACAGCCAAGCCCAGCAGGCCTGGTGTTTTTTTCAGACCAGCAGAGACTCCAGAGCAGTTCCCAGCAGAGGTGGGGAGGCTCGCACCGGGCTTGCTAGGCTCAGTGGCTCCTGGCTCAGCCAGATTAGACTGAGAGCCAGAGAACTTGAAGCGAGGCGGGTGCTGAGGGTGGGACGTGAGGGTTCTGAGGGCTTTTTAAAGAGGTCTCTGGTGCTGCCTGCTGTGGTAAAAGGAGAAGAGACCCAGGGGTGGAGAAGGAAGAAATTGTGTACAAGAGTTGGAAGAAACGGGAAAGGAAGGGAAGTAGATCTTCTGGGAATGTGGAAGCATATCAGAGCTGTTATGCTGTGTGAGGGAGATGTGTGCCTGGGAGTGTTGCCGAGGTAGGAAGCATTGTGAAGTACTGAACAGAAGACAAGCGGAGTGCAGGTCTTTGAGCTTCAGCCCTGTCTCAGGAAATGAGACGGCGTTCGCAGGCATGTGAAAGAAAACTGGGGAAAAGACAAGAGTTTTGACTCTTAAGGAGCCTCCTTCCCTGTGCCTGGTCCACCCCCAGCCGTGTGCTGCCCTGGGTGCCTGGCTAGGCCTGAGCAGGGGCACGGCAGGGGGACAGGGCGGGACAGGGAGACCAGGAGCCATGTGGGGCTTAGGTCAGATTCTGTAGCAGAGAAGGCCCGCTGGTGACGCCTGAGTAAAGTCTCGAGTTCACTGTTAATAGTAACGTGCCAGCGCTGGTTTCTTCACTGTGCTGAACAAACCATGATCGCAGGAGGTGCTACTACACTGGAAGCTGGGGATGTGGAAACCACACTAGCCCGGCAACTTTTCTTTAAAATTATCCCAGAATGAGAAGTTAATTGAAGAGCCTGGGAGGGATGCGGCGAGGAGTTAGGGAGAAGAGGAAGGCAGAGGCTGTGGTCCGGAGAGCAGGGCCTGGGCTGGGAGGGAGGATGGGAGCCCCACGCTAGGGTGGGCAGGAAGGGCCACGTCCCAGGGCCAGGCCGGCTGGGTTGCAAGTTAGCAGTGTTGCCAAGGACGGGTCGCTTCGGGTCTGTAACATGGGGCAGGCAGCAGCTGTTCTGCTCAGTAGGATGCACAGGAGGTGGCATCTGACAAGGGGAAGACACTGAGCAGTAAAAATGCCACTCCAGTTGCCTTGGCACGCTCATCGGGAGCCTGAGCTAGGCCTGGTGGTGTGGAGGGTGTTGGGGGTTTGGGGTGAGCTGGGTGGCTCCCGAGGGTGGTGATCACCGAGGACATGTGTTCTGGGGTTGTGGCCCTGGCGGGACCCTCGGTGACACTTGCTGAGAGGCTCATTTTCCTCACGGGTCCTCGTGTCCTCATCTCCCCCTCTTCTGCTTGCCCTGCACTTGCCCCTGCAGTTGCCGCTGGTGAAGGACCGGAACGCTGAGCTTCTGTACTTCGCCGATGTCTGCGCGGGCCCGGGCGGCTTCTCCGAGTACGTGCTGTGGAGGAAGAAGTGGCACGCCAAGGGCTTCGGGATGACGCTGAAGGGCCCCAATGACTTCAAGCTGGAGGACTTCTACTCGGCCTCCAGTGAGCTCTTCGAGCCGTACTATGGTAAGGAGCCTGCGGGGAGGGCACTGGGAGGGATGGCCCCGTCTGGGGGGCGCTGCTGTGGAAAGCCTTGTGTGCTTTCCTGGCTCTCACAGCCTGGGGTTCATGGTCCCTGTCACGGGGGTCTTGGTTCCCTCTGGACCAGTGATGGCGAACCTTTGGGAGCGTTCAGTGATAGAAACAGCCCACTGTAGGGGCTGGGGATTTAGCTCCGTGGCAAAGCGCCTGCCTGGCAAGCGCAAGGTCGTGAGTTCGATTCCTGATACCGGAAGAAAAACAAAAACAAACAAAAAAAGAAACAGCCCGCTGTGGCACTCATGCCTTTGGCTCGCCACCACTGCTCTGGACTGTCCCTTTTTACCCTAGCCCTGCAGCCACAGGTCAAACCCCTGACCAGGCAGACTCCCATCGAGCCATATTAATTCTCCTTGCTGGAGCTCTTTCCTCGGGACAGGAGCTGGTGAAACTGCCTGGGCTCCGGCTAAGAGCTGGCAGGGTTATTACAGACACAGACTGCACCCGTCTGCAGCCCTGTGCGCGCAGTGTGGAGCGTGCCCCGAGGCAGACAGCTGAGCTGCCCCACTGCGGCCCCTCTGCTCCATCTCATTCTTGTGTTCTGGCAGCAAGTCCTAAGTCCTTTCTTAACAGCCGTAGTGAGAAGCTTATACTGGTTTCTACACAGAGGTGCTTGAGATGCCCCTGGTTCTGTTTTGACTCTTGGCTGGTCGGCGCCTCTGGACCCTGCTTTATTACAGTGGGGCCCAGTTCTTCCTTCTGGCCCATCCTTGTGAGGCAGCCTTGCAGGGTGAGCCCTGGGTCTTAGTCACCTGGCACCTGTGTTTCCTGTCCCGGCTCCCAGTATGTTCAGGGTGGGTGAACTCACTGAATCTCGTGTCCTGCCAGGTGAGGGTGGGGTTGATGGAGATGGAGATATCACCCGCCCAGAGAATGTCACTGCATTTCGGAACTTCGTCTTGGATAACACAGATCGCAAAGGAGTCCACTTTTTGATGGCTGATGGGGTAGGTGACTTTTCTCCATAGAGTGGTTCCTTAGGGATTTGTTAATTAATTACATTTTTTGGGTTTTGTTTTGTTGAGACAGGTTCTTTGTAGTTCAGGCTGGCCTTGAACTTACTATGTAGCGTAAGCTGGCCTCGAACTGGCAGCAGTTCTTCTGCCTCAGCCTCTTGAGTGCTGGGATTACAGACATGCGTTGCCATATTTGTCACAATTTTTGTAATTTTGTAAAAACTGTAATGTGGACACCTCTCCTCCGGGCAGTGTGGAGCTGCTTAGCTCACTTGGTGAAAGGGCCTCGGTTGGTTATGAAATCACCTGAGACTTGGACTGTGAGTAAATCAATGAGGCGAAACCCAGTGAGACGCACATTGCCGTTGGACGCACTGATGTTGCTCCTGGTGGAGGTCCTCTGGAAGGGGCCCCACCCAGCCTCTTGCAGGCCAGCAGATGGCCGCGTAACCAAGGCAGCAGCCCATCGAGGCTGAGTGAACATTCAGGGGGCTTTGTCTGTGGAGAGCTGCTTGAAGTGCAGCAGGAGCCCAGCACGGCTTTGCACCGTGTGACCGCTGCTGCAGGGAGCGCTTTCTGGAGTGAGCCACCGCTCAGTCTGGGGAAGGCCAGTGTGGCAGTGGATCCAGGAACACACGGCCAGAGATGAGAGGAGCTGCAGGAGTGCTTTGAGTGCCCCTTATGCGGTAGCTGCTCAGAAAGTGAAGGGAGGTGGGTGGGGCATCAGCCCTGGCTCCTGAAGCAGCTGCCGCTGGGCGCTGGCTGTGAGGGAGGGGCCTGTGGCGCAGCTGCAGGGTCTGGAACTGCTGCGAGGAGGCGGGCAGTGTGGCAGTGCTGCTGGCAAACTCGAGGCCTGTCTGCTCCGGCAGTGGGAGGGCTGATTTGGGCCTTCTTGGTTCTGTTTTGTTTTCTCTTACAACAGGCGTGCATTTTGAGAAGCATCTGTCTGGAAGACATTGCTAAACATTTTTTTTTTAAATTTTTTTTAATTGCTAAACATTTTTTGATTCTGAGTCATTTAGCTATTACTTTTGTAGGCCTGAATCAGCTGAATAAAATCATCCATCTTCTACTACTGTTTTTTGGTTTTTGAGGCAGGGCCTTGTTATGTAGCCCAAGCTGGCCTTGAACTCATAGCGATCCTCCTGCCTCAGCCTCCTGAGTGCTGGGATTACAGGTGTGCACCACTATGCACAGCTACTACTTTTTTTTTTAATTATAAAAAACGTAAGGTATAGCATATTGTCTTAACCATTCTGAGTATACAGTTCAGTAGTATTAAGTATATTCATGCTGTTATGTACAGATTTTCCAAAACTTCTTCATTTTGCAAAACTGAAACTCTGTAGCCATTGAACAACTCCCTCCTCCTCTCCCCTGGCCTGGCACTTTTACCTGTGTGCGAGTTTGGCTGTCAGCTCCCTGCTGGACTGTCTCAGGAGGGGACCATGTTAGGGTTGGGCGCACGCGTTCTTTGAGCAGATAACCCTGGCCAGAGAATCCTCCAGCTAGCAGGAAGAGGCGCTGTAACTGAACAGACTCCTGTGGTCTTTGGAGAGGATGGGGCAGGACTATAAGGATATTCTTGACCCACAGAAAGCAAGATTCCTGTCAGAGTTGGTGCCAGCTTTCCTCTGTCACTAGACAAGGGCCGTGGTGGCCAGCACAGTGCCTTAGTGAGCCCAGCAGAGAATGCCCGGCGCGCTTACTCCCGGGCCTTGCTCCTGACCGTGCCTTGCCTAGGTTCTGCTTCCTCTGCCTGGATTCCTGCACTGGCAGTCCTGTCCCCCGGCCTCCCAAGGGCCTCCTTGGAGAAGCAGGCTGGGTCTTTCTGCAGGAGATGGAGCAGAAAGCGCCCTAGTTCAGTGGCCCCAGAGCTCACTATACCCGCAGCCTCGTGCCTGGTGTGTGTCAGCAGGCAGCAGAGTCCGCGGAGGTGCACGAGGAGTCGGGAGGAGGAGGAGGCAGGGGCACTTGCTCAGCTCTTACGTTTCTCGCCACCCTGACCCTTGTGCTCTGGTCTCAGGGCTTCTCCGTGGAGGGGCAGGAGAACCTGCAGGAGATCCTCAGCAAGCAGCTGCTGCTGTGCCAGTTCCTCATGGCGCTGTCCATCGTCCGCACAGGTGACACTTCTGCTGTCCTCCCCTGGAGGCCCTGGTGCATAAGAGCCTGCATAGGAGTTGGCTGGGAAGCTAAAAACAGGCAAAAACCAAGAAACCACTTGTCAGGCGGCTAAATGAGGAATTTGGGGAGAACAGACCTCTCGAAGGTCCCCTCCAAAGCCGATTGTCCCATAAATTGTTGGGTGTTGAGTGCTGAGGTGCTGGCTCGTTGTTTTAGTGCTCTTCGAAGCCAGAGATGCCTCTCCCACCTCCTGGAATACACCCACTGACGCTGCAGCTGTTTTCTCTCCGATCCAGGAGGTCACTTCATCTGTAAAACCTTCGACCTCTTCACACCCTTTAGTGTGGGGCTCATCTACTTGCTCTACTGCTGCTTTGAGCGCGTGTGTCTCTTCAAGCCTGTGACCAGCCGGCCTGCCAACTCCGAGAGGTGAGGCTGTCCCCACTGCTCTGCCAGGCTCGTTGACTGCACATCTGGACAGCAAATCCCATGCTTCTCCCTGGCGTGGCTTCTCAGAGATGGGATTAGAGCAGTGGTGGGGAACCGATGGCATGCGGGCCACAGCGGTCTCTGTGTATCATTGAAAGCTCTGAAAGAGTGGTTACCACTGGATTAGAGCCACTAGGGGCAGGATTCTTGGGTCTGAGTGGACCTGAGCTACACCAGATTGGCGTTTGCCTTTTTCTCCATGCTTCCGTGGGAGATTTGGGGGCTCCCTCAATAATAGGGACACTTGCAGGGACGCAGGCTGGGAAGAGTTGAGGTTGTCATCCAGAGGCAGTGTTGGCATTGCAGGTGGCATCGCAGGTGGGGCCAGAGGGGAGAGAGGACGCAGCCCATAGAATTGCCAGGCGGCTTGTTAGGAACGTGGTTTCCGGGCTGTGTGTGCAGTCTGCTCACTAGGTCTGTAGCCGAACAGACTTGCGGTGTGGGGGAGACGGCCGTCTGATGCGGGCTGTTGGGAAGCAGCACCCAGGTAGAGATGCAGCCTGACATAAGAAGGCAGATTGAGGTGAGTGTCTGCAGCCATGTCTGTGCTGTTCTTTGAGCATAAGCTTAGGGTTGAACAGAGACTGTCTAGCTTGTAGCTCTCCAAGGGGCAGAGGGGAAGGCAGGCGTGGGGGAAGGCAGGCGTCGGGGGAGCCTTGCTGTGTGCAGTGACAGGCCGTCTCCTGCAGGTACGTGGTGTGCAAGGGCCTGAAGGTGGGCACGGATGACGTGCGCGAGTACCTCTTCTCGGTGAACATGAAACTCAACCAGCTGCGGAACACCGAATCTGATGTCAACCTTGTGGTCCCCTTGAAGGTGATCAAGGAGGACCCCGAGTTTACTGACTACATGATCCGCTCTAACGAGAGGTAAGCCGCCTGGCTGTCTGCTGGGCTCCTCTGGGGTGTTCAGCTCCAGAGGATGAGGGACTGAGTGATTGGCTCCTGGTATCATTTTGTCACCCTAGCACCTTGGTTACTTTGGGACCCTCATCCTGTCCCAGTGTCCCATAGCAAGGGCTGTGATTGGCTTGCCCACAGGAGGCTGCATCTCCTAGGGATGCCCAGGAGGACCAGCCTGTGTCTGCGGAGGCAGCGCCACTTCCCTTCGCTTGCTGCTGTGCAGAAGCCCAGCGTGGTTGCGGCCTTATGGTGGCCCCTGTGTGGAGGTGGGAGGCAGACAGAAAGCGAGGGTAGCGTTGCTCTGAAGTGCCCACGCAGCCAGCTTGGAAAGCCCATCTTTCACTTTTTTTTTGGTATCGGGAATTGAGCTGAAGACCTTGTGCTTACCAGGTAGGCGCTGTGCCGCTGAGCTATATCCCCAGCCCTGGCTTTCACTGCCGCCGCCCTGCAAGGCAGTCATTTAAAGTAGTGATAGTTGGCTCTGCTCTCTCGGTGGGCAGGCCTTAGGAAAAGGTTTTTGAGGCAGCTTGGAGGCTTGTATAGTAGCACTGATCATTAGCAAGTACTCTCCTGGGGGCCAAGTCGGCATTGGAAAGACCTTGTCTAAGTGTCCGGTACCAAGTCTCCCTCACACGTGGGCAGGCGGATATAGCTCTGGACAACTGTAGAGGGGCAGAAATCTTTACCCTGCTGTGTATTATTTCTCCAGCATCACTCGCATTTAACTTTCTGCAGAGACCCTCCCATCTCTAGAGCAATTCTAGGCAGCAAGTAGGGTTGTTTTTGTTGTGTTAACGCCTTAGGGCTCTGTAACTCACCCAGTGTTACAGTGAGCGTGGACCCGCGGCAGAAGGGGACTGCTTTTCAGTGCTTTCACCGGGAGAGTGTTTATACAACCCTATAACCAACCCCTTTTCTTTTTAAAAAAGCTGAGGTATGCTTTTTAAGTGAAATGCAGATCTTAAGTGTATACTTCATTTAGTTTTGACAGATACACATGTAATCTGCATCCCTATTAAGGCAATTTCGCATCCCTCAGATTTCTATGTGCCCTTGTCCGGCTGATCCCAAAGTAGCTGCTTTTTTTTTTTTTTTATCATCACAGGTTACTTTTGTCTGTTTTAGAACTTGGAACAAATGGACTGCGTGCATATGCACATTTGTGTCAGCCATGCTTTTGAGTTTCATTCCTGTCATGTTTGTTCTTTTTTATTGTGGAGTAGCGTATCAGTCAGTGTTTACTAGAGAATCACATGATACAAGATAGACACATATATAAGAAATTACAAGATCGGCTTACAGTGGCCATCCACAGAGTCGGGTAAGGAACAGTGCAGAGGGTCTTTTGCACACTGGAGACCGAAGGAATCAGTTAACGTCTGGAGCTCACTGCAGTGTCCCATGCGAGTCTGTGTCAATGGGTCTGCGCTAGAGGCCGAAGAGTCTGTGCGGGAAGCCAGAAGACGAGGTCCACGCTGAAGACGAAGATGTGCTTCTCTGAAGAAACCCAAGCAGATCCGTCCTTCATTTTCCTTTTATACCATTCAGGCGATGAGCCACGCTAGTGTGGGTCTTCCGTACCCTAGGGTATGGAATTGCTGAGCCAATTTAGTTGAGCTTCTCTTACTCAGGTTGACACAATCAACCTTTACAAGTAGTATTTGAGTGTGTGGATATGTATCATAATTTATTCCTCCATTTATGGCTATCTGAGGTATTTCCTGTTTTGAGACTTGTCTTAGTTACCTTTTCCACTGCTGAGACAAAATACTCAACACCCAAAGATAAGGGAGGAAAGGTTTATTTTGACTCAGTTTGGAGAGGTTTCTGGTCCATAATCAGCTGGCTCCAAGGCAGAGGGATGTGGCCGAGGAGAAGCAGTCCATGGTGGGCAGAAGACAGAAAGCAGCGAGCTACGCATGATAAGCCAAGACCACAGCTCTTTCTGCCCCTTACATCTTACCTATCTGTAATCCCATTTCATCCTTGATCCCAGCAGCACAAACACTAGGTGCATCCACTTCCGAAAAGCCCCACCTATGAGGACGTGTGGCTTTAGGGGGACATCTAGATACAAGGCAGGACCGGGCTGCTATGACTGTTGCCGCTACAAACATTCTTACACAAGGCTTTTGGAGGAGAGATGTTTTCATTTCTCTTAGCTAAATACCCAAGAGTGGAAAGTCTGAGTCATAGGGTAGGTATGTGTTTATTTGAAAATGCCATTCAGTTTTCTAAAATGATTATGGAGAAGTTCGAAGTTCTGATTGTTCTACATCCTTGTCAACATGTGATATTGTCAGTCTTTATTTTAGCCATTGCAGTGGTAGTATATCATGTTACTGTGGTTTTATTTATAATTCTGTGATTACTGATGCTGAGCCCTTTTTACAGGCTATTTATATATCTTCTTTTATGAAGTATCTTTTTTTTTTAATGGTACTGGGAATCAAACTCAGGACCTCACACTGCCAGGCAGGCGCTGTGCCACTGAGCTATATCCCTGGCCTTTGTGAAGTATCTCTTTTCTTATTTTTTTTCCTTTTTGTGGTGCTGGGATTCCACCCACCACTGAACTACACTTCTAACCTCTCTCTTGAATGTTGTTTGACCATTTTAAAAAATTGATTTGTCTTTTTATTAAGATTCAGGAATGGAGTATTCTGGATATAAACCCTGTATCAAATATTTGTGGTGTGAAAATTTTCCCCTAGTCTGGAGTTGGCCTAATCATTTTCCTAAATGGTATCTTTTGATAAATAGATGTTTAATTTTTTTATTTTATTCTTTTTGATGGTGCTGGAGATCAAACCCTGCCCGTGTGCATACTAGGCAAGTGCTCTACCACTGAGCTATATCCCCAATCCGTATTTTTTAAATTATGATAAAATATACATAAAACTTAGCATTTTAACTGTTTCAAAATACACTTTTTGTTGGGTGTGGTGGTGCACACTTGTAATCCCAACACTTAGGAGGCTGAGGCAGGTGGATCACTGGTTTTGAGGCTAGCCTGGGCTACATAGTGAGTTCAAGGTCAAACACATAGCAAGATCCTATCTCAAAAAACCAAAAAAGAAAACAAAAGAAAAAAAAAAACAAAAAACCCCATTAAGTACAAAACTGTATTGTGCAACCATCACCACTGTACATTTCCAGCATGTTTCTATCCTCTCAGACAGCAGCTCTGCGTCCACTGAACAAGAACTCGCCCACTTTCCCCTTTCCTCAGCCCCGGGTAACCTCTGTTACACTTCCTGTGTCTGTGAGTTCTCCTCCTCTAGGTATCTCACAGAACAGAGTGAACAGTACAGTATTTATTCTTTCATTACCCTAAGTAAAATAAATGAGAAATGTTTCTTCATGTGGAAGCATTTGTTAGAATTTCTTTGTGTGTGTGTGGCCCTGGGGACTGAACCCAGGAAGCACTGAGCTACATCCCCAGCCCCTTTTGATTTTATTTTGAGACAAGGTTTCACTAAGTTGCCCAGGCTAGCCTGAAACTTGGAGTCCTCCTGCCTCAGCCTTGCTGATCTTGGACATTGCCCCCAGTAGTGGGCAGGCTCCTTTCCCTACCTTCTTGCCAGCATCGCATTCTTCATCTGACTAGAGTGACTTGGGATCTCAGTGTAGGTTTTTTTTTTTTTTTTTGTCTTTTTGAGACAAGGTCTCACTATGCAGTTCAGGCCGGCGTTGAGCTCACTTTGTAGCCCAGGCTGGTCTCAAACTCACAACGATCCTCCTGCTTTAGCCTCCCGAGTGCTGGGATTACAGGTGTGTGCCGCCACGCGCAGCTCAGTGTAGTTTTGATTTGCATTTCCCGTCTTTAATTTTATATCAGTCTTTTGTTGTTTTTTATGTATAAGTACACCTTTAGTTTATTCTTATTTTATTCTTTTTGATACTATTATATATACTAAATTGTTTTCTTAATTTTCCTTTGGGATTATTGTTATTATATAGAAATGTGACTGATTTCTGTGTGTTTATGTTGTATTGTGTAAGTTGCTGGACTCATTTATTGGTCATAGCAGTTCTTTGTGTGTGTGTGTGTGTGTGTGTGTGTGTGTGTAATCTTAGGGTTTTTGATTGTAAGATTGTCATCTGTGAAATGAAATTTTACTTTTTAATTTCCAATCTAGATACCTAAAGGTTTTACATTTTTGTGGTGATTCCAGTTTTTTAGTTTTTATTTTGGTTAATAATTTCTTTCTCTCTGGAGTCTGCCTATGTGATTTATGCAACCGTTGCTCCATTTTCATACCAAAATTTCACACTTTAGCTTTTATGTTTAGGCCTATGGTATGTCTGAAATTTTTCTGTGTTGTGTGACATGGCGTCAAGGGTCTTCTTTTTCTTGATGTCTGTTTAGTATCATTTGTTGAAAACACTTCCTTTTTCCCATTTAATCCGTGACACTCTTTGCAGTGATGTATGTTTGACTATCCCAGGGCTCTCTGCTCTGTTCATTCGTTCGTGCTTTTGCTGGTCCCAAACTATCTCGAGGATTATTTCTTGACAAAAGCCTCAGGGTCAGTGTTTTTAAACTTTGTTCTTTTTCAAGATGTTTTGGGTAGGTTTTTTTTTTTTTTCCATTTACGTACAAATTTTAGTTTACTTTTTTGCGACAGTGTCTCACTGTGTAGTTCAGGCTGGCCTTAAACTCATAGCAACCCTCCTGCCTCAGCTTTCCAGATGCTGGGGTTACAGACATGTATCACCACAGCCAGCTGTTTATGTACAAATTTTAGAACCAGTTTGTCAGTTTCCCAAAAGCCTTCTAGAATTTTGATGGAAATTACATTGAATTTACAAATCATTTTGGGGAGAGTCGACAACTTAGCAATATTGAATTTTTCCATTCATGAATAAGAAATACCTATCATTTATTTGATTGTCTTTAGTGTCTCAGCAGTTTTAGTTTTTGGTGCAGAAGTCTTACACATCTTTTGTCAAATTTATTCCTAAGGATTTTATGGGTTTGAATATAGTTCTGAAGGGTATTTTGTTTTTTGTTGTTGATTTTTTTTTTTAGACCAGGTTTCACTATGCTGTTTAGGCTGACTTTGAACTCACTGTGTAGTTGAGGCTGGCCTTGAACTCACAGCGATCTTCCTGCCCCAGCCTCTCGAGTTCTGGGATTATAGGCATGCAGTACCACACCCAGCTTATAACGGTATTTTTAAAATTCCACTTTGTAGTTGTGGCAGAGCTGGGTATGATAGTACACACGTGCAATCCCAACACTCAGGAGGCGGAGGCAGGGGGGTCAGGAGCTCAAGTCCAGCCTGTACTACATAGTGAAATCCTGCCTCAGAAAACAAATTATTTTTGTATATCAACTGCATCTTGTAGGAATGCTTAATTCACCTATTTGTGCTAGTGAGTATGGTAGGTTCCTTAAGATTTTTGACATACAGAATCATATTTTCAGATAGTTTTACTTCCTTTCCCATTTGTCTGCTTTATGTGTCTTTCTCTCGCATTACTGCACTCCCTAGTTTGCCCAGGGTGCTGAGTGGAAGCGGTGAGAACAGAGACCCCGGCTTTATTCATAGTGTTTAACCATCAAGTGTGGTATGAGTGCGTGTTTGTATAGATGTCCTTTATGAGGTTGGCAAGGTTTTCTTCTCTTCCTAGTTTGTTGAGCTTCCCATCATGAATGAATGTTTAATTTTGTTAAATACTTTATATCTGTAGCAATTGCTGTCTGATTTTTCTCCTTTATTCTAGTAGTACAGAAGTTACATTGAGTGATTTTCTTTTTAACTTTTTTTTTTTTGGTACTGGGAATTGAACTCGGGACCTTGCACTTGCCAGGCAGGCGCTGTGCCGCTGAGCTGTATCTCCAGCCCCACTGAGTGATTTTTGAATGGTAATCTTGCATTTCTGGATAAACTCCAGTTGATCATGATGTAGTATCTATGTTGGTATATTTTATGTATTAATATTTTATTGGGGATTTTTGTGTCTTTATTCATGAGAGAAATCAGTCTCTAATTCTGTGTTCTTTTAAAGTCTTTGCCTGACTTTCGAGTCAGGATTATTGCTAGTTTTATAAAATGACTTGGGAAGTGCTTCCTCTTACATTTTCTGAAATAATTTATGTAAGATTGGTCATTTTTAATCTCTAAAATTTTTGATATGACTTAGCGGTGGAGCCATTTGAGTATAGAGTTTGCTTTATGGGAAGTTTTAAAGTTTCTTAGTAGATGTTGGGCTTTTCAGATTATCCGTTTTTGTTATGTGTTTTCAGCTAAGTTTGTGCTTTTCAGTTTATTGTTTGTTTCATCCAAAGTGTTGAATGTATTAGCATAAAGTTATTCATAATATCACCTTACCCTTTAGTGTCTGTAGGGTGTCTAATAATATCACTCACATAATCTTTATATTGACGTTGTTTTCTCTTTTATTCTTGATCAGTTTTTATTACAAGTTTATCAGTTTTATTAATCAAGAACCACCTTTTTACTTCATCTTTTATAGATTTTTTTAATACAATAGATCTGAAATAAAAATATACAAATATATATGAGATAAAATACAGCATTATATGGCTCAAATATTTCAATTTTTTTTTGGATTTGTTATTTTCATCATGGATTATGTATATATGTGTGGTACCAAATATCCAGATGAACCCTCTGAAACCAAGATGAAATTAAATACTCCTCTTTAAAAAAAGAACATAATTGGGATTTTAAAGATACAGTATCTATTAGGTTTAGTTCTACCGTACTCAGAGAACATATTCGGTACAATTCTGAGGCTTACTTTGTGCTTCATCATAATCTCTTAATATTTTAACTGCTGCTGTTCATTGAGGTGGTCCTCAAATGTATAGTCAAATTTGTTCAAAATGTTTTCCAAATCTCCTGTAACTGAGCTGGTACACTGTGACTACTTATCTGTCAGGTGCCGGGAAATGCCTGTTAGTTAACACCTTGAACCTACAGCTGGGTTTGGTGGCTCATGCTTGTCCTCGGAACTAGCTGAGGGGCTCGGACAGGAGGATTGCAAATTTGAGGCCAGCCCTGGGAATTTAGCAAGACTGTAGCTCAAAATAAAATTTTAAAAGGGACGGGGATGTAACTCAGAACTCCCTGGGTTCAGGCCCCAGTACTGCACCCCGCCCCCCGCC